CACTTAAAAACGACCTAGAAACGGCCTACCTTGACCATGGTGTGTTTTTGAGCTATTTTAAGGTGATGGCCTAGAAAGTCCAACTTGCAAAAGTTAGGCCACCATGCTAAGTTAGAAAACATACCAGGGGCATGATATGCCATTTCTAGGATATTTTTACCATGGCGGCCTAACTTTTGCAAGTTGGGTTTTCTAGGCCACCATGGTAGTGGCCTGACATGCCTATAATGGGTTTTCTAGGCCAGTTTAACTTAGTGGCCTAGAAAATTCAGATTGCAAAAGTTAGGCCACAATGGAAAAATGAGCTAGAAAACACACCAAGGGCATGTTATGCCATTTTCAGGTCATTTTGAAGTGATGGCCTAACTTACGCAAGTTGAGTTTTCTAGGTCACCAACAACTATAGCCTAAAAAGCCTGATATTCACTAGTGCGTTTTCTAGGCTGTTTCATCATGGTGGCCTAGAAAACTCAGTTTGCAAAAGTTAGGCCACCACTTCAAAATGGCCTTAAATAACACCAGGGTCAAGTTAGGCCATTTCGAGGCCATTTTGAAGCAGGTGGCCTAGAAAACGCGGCCTAGAAAATTTGTGAAAACCCTAGCGATGCAAGCGCGCTCCAAGAAAGTTCTCGTGTACTCCTCTCGGACTATCTAAAATGTTTAAATTTCCGATATTTGTAAGCGCGCTCCACTGAGAAATATCAAAATTTCAGCTCGCTGCTCCGCGCGATTTCTCGTGCGAAACCAAAAGTCGCCTCGTACCCATTCACAACCCTCCGACCGCATATTGGAGTGGTTTTTTATGAGGATTTCGAACAAATTGCAGTTGCCGATATTCCGGGACTAATTGAAGACGCACATTTGAATAAAGGACTAGGAATCTCGTTTTTAAAACATATCGAACGATGCCAGTGGGGTGTTTTTTTTTCCTTTTTTGAGACGAAATGAACTGAAAATGAGGATTTCCAGATCTCTCTGGTACGTTTTGGACTACTCGTCTGGCCAGCTCGCCGAGCAATACAAACAGCTTCGATTTGAATTAGAGGGATACCAAAAAGGACTGGGAGACCGGGCGACAACGATTGTCATCAACAAAATTGATTTATCAGCGCAAGAACCTCAAAAATTATCATCGATTTTCCCAAATTTCCCGGTTTTCCCAGTTTCTGCACAAGAGAAAACTGGATTGGAGCCACTTTTGGTGCACTTGAGAGAGCAGTATGATAAGGGGAACAATTAGATTTTCAATGTTTTTTTTTTGTTATTTCAATAAATTTGTTATTTTTTCAAAAAATTGTATTCTTTTGTCTTTCGAAAATTAGAAACAAAATTTCAAAAAGTTTTCTCGCTTTTTGTTTTCATTAACCATTTGTTTTCATTAGCATATGAAGGCGCCGATTTATCTTTAAAGGGGGACTCCGACCAAAAATTTTTATTGCATTAAAATGTGTTAAAAGTTATCTATTTTCCGAATATTATTGCGAAAAAATTCAAAAAAAATCCGAAATTCCCGAAAAACGGCGTTGAAAAGGAAGAAAATTCAAAAGAAGGTGCCGCCGGGGGACGAGGATTTTCAGTGAGAAATTTAGGCCACGGCAGCGGGTGCCTTTCCTACGTGGCAAATTTTCCGGATTTTTTTCAATTTCATGTCCGGC